TAACGAGTTTAAGACAGGAATAAATTGGTAACTGTCAGCAGATGCAATCCGCAATCCTTGTGTGTCAAAAAAATACTTTCTCCAATACAATAGACTATAAAATCTGTGCTGAAATGTAAAATTCTGTTTGTTTGAGGGTCTGAAGCTTTGGGCCAAATGTGATCCTTTCAAACCCTGTGTTCCTTCTTTTGTGACTAAATGCTGTACAGAACATACATTGTCATCTTTATCTGTGAATATTGTGCGCACATAATTTCACAGTAATTAACTGAGCCAATGGGCTGCGTTTCCCGCATGCTTCATATGAGGCTTTTGATCCAGTCCTGTGCAGTTAATAACATGAACATTTAATTCTCTGAAGGCTTCAGTGGCATTTCCTTCACTATATTCATCATTTCTTAATACTTAATGTTTCAATGTTAGAAGTGCTTTATTATTGAACCAAAGAAGTATTACATATGATTAGCACAGCCACTGCTGTGCCGAACAGTTTAAGCAGTTTGCAGCAATGTTAAAAATCTTTGCAATGGCCCACAATAGACATAAGACTAATGAAATTAGACCATCGTCTCTGGCCAGCATATTGAACTTGCCTGAATTTACACAACTTGCATTGATACAGTACCCCTCACACAGAGTAACGTTCCAGAGCACTTGATGCTACACTGTTGCTGCTGTCCAAGTATAATGTTAAAACAAGTGTGATGATTAAGAATCAGTTTATCAATACATAATAAGATTTGTACTTGTTCTCTAGTAATTGCTTTTGAAAATCATTACGTTGTATCGGCTGTTTAGTACAAAATGTAGCTATCGCTAAGGAGAATGAAATTGTTCTCAATTGACTTGAGATGTGTAAAGCCTGGCAAACATACAACTATAGGTATTCAGTTATACCCTGAATTATGCCTGGAAACTCTTGTGGTAAAGCACAGAAACTGCATAAATCCTCCCATAAGATCTTTGAGCAAGCTTTTATATGTGTTTAAGCATGTGCAATGGCCTTATTGCAGATCTCATGAGCGTGGATTTAAATTACAGATTAAATCCTGGCAGAGTCCCCAAAAGCCAATTTATAGTTAGAAATTAGGGTGAGTTTACAATTACATCTCTATGCCTGAGTGGAAATGTAAGTATATGTTTCAGAAAATGTTTTGGTGTGTGGCTTTTGCCAAGTATTGGCAGTAGGGTTCTGAATACTACTTGTAATAATAATCCTTGCAGTTGATATAGCGCTTTTCACGTCTTCTCGACGTCTCAAAGCGCTTCACAGAATAGACTGTGAAGTGAATTTACAATATATTTGTGGGCGAAATGCGGCAGCCAATTGCGCTCAGCAGTGTCCCACAAACAGTCGTAGATTGAAAATGACCAATTTATTATTGTTTTGTTTTTGAAGGGATTATTATTAGGCTCTGTGTGGAGTAAGGAAACTTGCCCAAGGTTTCGCCCTGCCTGGAATTGAACCCAAGTGTCTCGTTTGCAAGGCGAGTGCTCTAACCACCGAGTTACAGGACTCCACTTGAGTAATAATAGTCATCCTTGCATTTGATATAGTGCCTTATCACGTCTTCGAGACATCTCAAAGCACTTCATAGAATATACTGTAAAGTGAATCGACTATAAGTTGTGGGTGAAACACGGCAGCCAATTGTGAACAGCAGTGCCCCACAAACAGATCCGCCAATCAACTTACTGCTAGGTAAACAGAGGCGTGTAGAATAAGCAAACTTTCCCAACATTTCGCCCTGCTGGGAATCAAATCCATTCTCTCGTTTGCGAGGCGAGTGCTCTAATCACTGAGCTGTGTGAGTCTAGTGTTTATCATCCTTATATATTTTTACAGACTGTGCAATGCTAAATTAAAAAAAAGTCAAACGTGCTAACCAGCCTTCAAGGATCATGAGCTGGGCCAATAGAAAAGTGCAGCCGGAATTTTTCTGCAGAATCCACTATAAACAGCGTCCTCCACTATAAACCTGCTAAACAATTTAGTTTATGGCCCAGGGGCCTCTAGCGCTGTTTAGCCAACTGTGGGCGGGATGTCTAAGGACTTGCATGCGTGGTGTGGCCAAGCGGGAAATCAATTTCACTTCCTTGGCATCTTGCTTTCAAGATCCTCATCCTCACCTACAAGGCCATTCATGGCCTTGCTCCCTCCTACCTCTCCAACCTACTATCCCCCTACCTACCTGCCCGTACCCTCCGTTCCTCTGGCTCCGGTCTGCTCCACGTCCCCCGCCCCAACCGCCCTACCATCGGTGGTCGGGCCTTCAGCCCCGAGGCTCTGGAACTCCATCCCCCAGTGCCTTCGCCGCTTCCTCCCTTTCCTCCTTCAAGGCCGGTCTCAAAACCTTTCTCTTTGACCGAGCCTTCAGCTCCCCTCTCGACTCTCTTCCCCCTCCTCGCTCCCTCCCTTCCCTCCCCCTGACCATTTCCCCCTTCCTCGCTCCCTCCCTTCCCTCCCCTCACCCTGACCATTTCCCCCTCCTCGCTCCCTCCCTTCCCTCACCCTGACCATTTCCCCCCTCCTCGCTCCCTCCCTTCCCTCCCCTCACCCTGACCATTTCCCCCCTGCTCGGGTCATGACCCAACTGTGCAGCGCCTTGGGACGTCCTCCTGACGTGAAAGGCGCTTTATAAATGGAATCTTGTTGTTGTTGTTGTTGTTGTTGCTTGACCGTCAACTATCCTTTCTACCCACATCTGTGCCATCACCCACTCTGCCTTCCCCCACCTCCACAACATCGCCCGGCTCCGCCACTGTTTCACACCACAGACTGTTATACAATCATTCATAACATCAAGGCTTGACTGTGCAAACTCCCTGCTTGTCGGCCTCCCCAACTCCTCCCTCCATAGGCTGCAGATCATCCAGATCTCTGCAGCCCATGTCCTCTCCCACACCAGGCTCTGTGACCCTATCATCCCCATCCTCGCCCGACTCCACTGGCTTCCCATCACATAGAGGATACAGTTCAAGATCCTGGTCCTCACCTTCAAAGCCCTGCATGGCCTTGCTCTTCCCTACCTCTGCGACCTCCTAACCCCCTACCAACCCGCCCACTCCTTCCATTCAGTGGGCTACAGCCTGCTTCATGTGCCCCGCCTCACAAAATAAAATAAAACAAAATAAAAATTTATTTTAAAATAAAAATAAAAATCATCATTGACAGGCGGGCCGGCCTTCAGCCACTCGGTCCACATCCTCTGGAACTCCATCCCGCAGTCCCTCCGCCTTGCCTCCTCCCTTACCTCCTTCAAGACCCATCTCAAGACCCTCTGTGCCTTTGATCACCCTCCTTTGCCACCTGCTCTCAACGCGATCCTGTCTCCCAGCTCGGGTCCGAAGCACTGAATGTCCAGCAACTTGGGACGTCCTCCCGACATGAAGGGCGCTATACAAATTTTGTAATTTTGTTGTTGTTGTTCACTTCACTTGGAGGTCACGCTGTTGTGATTGTTTGTGTGTGTCTTTCTCTGTGCTTGTGCTTATGTGTGTGAGTGTGTCTGTGTGTCTTTTTTTCTCTTATCTGTGTGTTTGAGTGTCTATGCATGTGGTCATTGTTGGTCAGGTCATTGTTGCCTTGCTTTGGGGGTGAAGACTTTGTGATCCCCATGGGCCACCCAGCTTTTGTTAAAGAAGAAATTCATTTAAAAAAATTGCAACAATATGTGATATTTCCTCATGTTTAGTTTTGATCAATAAAGTGAAACAAATGTAGATTGGCAGTAAGGTGGACCGAATGTTCAGAATTGGTTCTGAAGTTGTTGTTACTGTCATGCTGGTAGGAAAATAGTGTGGGTGGAATAAAATCTCCACAAATGGATATATGAAATCATGTAAACTTATAGGTTGTCAAACGTTTATGCTCCGGTCATTGTTGCCTTGCTTTGGGGGGAAGACTTTGTGATTCTATCTGTGTACCACCATGCAAATAGATTTCCTACAGGTGCATGTTCTCACAACCCAGGTTCAGCCAGGAATGGTTAATTCAAGCCACAGCATACAGGAGGTGCAATATAAGAAGGTGAGAATATTTGAGATAAAACTCCATAGACAGGCATAGGAGTCTGAAGTCTCACTCACTGCTTGTTTTTCGGGTTGCTGCAGCAGATGTTGTGCTTCTAGCACACGCATGGAGGTCTGGCTGTCAAGTCATAATTTTGTGGGTAGCTAAGTCTGCTCACATGTCTCGTGGAGAATTTGGACTTTTGCATTTACATGTATCACTTTGCACTGTTGGAAGTGTTTTGCATAGGATTTTATCTTCCGCACATAAAATATACAGTCAATTCACTTTACTGTGAAGTGCTTTGAGACATCTCAATGACATGATAAGGAGCTATCTCAAATGCAAGGATTATTATTAATATCGTATTTTGTCTTATAAAATGCACCTTGTTTTCTTTTACAATCTTACACCATGAAATAAATAATAATCCCCAAAAATTGAGAGACTAGAAACAAATTACTCAGGGGGGATAGTTAGAATGTGTAATTCTCCGTCTTAAACTATTGTTGAAGTGAAGTCCATTATTTATTTTAAAATTGAATTAAATAGATGCTGGAAAAGAGAATATTAAAGGACAAGGGGCTGGTGAACAAGAGAGTAGGATAAGGATAGATGACTTGTGGAAAAACACGAGTACAGATTTGATGAGCCAAATGACCTTGTTCTGTGCTGCAGTATTCTGATTCTTCTCTAAATGACAGGGTGAAAAAAGTTATTTCTGATAAACCTGCATTACACCTGAGTAAATAGAAAATAACTGATTGGTACACATTTATTCCAGTTATAATTACAGTATTTTCATATGGATGTCACTTGCTATTTTCTAGTTTTCTCCCATATTTGGGAGAATCCCATATAACCCATACATTAAGAATATTGCATAAATTTCCCAAATCAGAAGGATCAATTTCATCTTTTCCATCTATTCACGTGAACATCTTTCATGTTTTCAAGAATGCCGCTTTGTGTTTCTGATTAACTACAGTGGAAGCTTCCTGTCAAAATGGAGATGAAACAATGGAAACTATTGAGGCTGCAGAGGCTCTGCTCAACATGGACTCGCCTGGCCCAGCCTTTGAAGAGAAAAGGATAAGTGAGTCTCAGTTCGAATAGCCTTATTTTAAAGATCAATGTTGAGCTGTATAGTTATGGAAATGTATTGCCATAAGGCGTGTTCTCTTGACACCAATACCAACCTTAAGCACCACCAACAGCAGCAATTTGCATTTAAATAGTATAGAACAAAGTCTCATAGCACTTAATAACAGCTGTGTCAGATGCCGAGCAAGGGAGGAGGGGGAGGTGACCATAGGTGAGGATGAAGAGGTAGGTTTCTCGGTGGGATTTAAAGACCATGGGGTTGAAGAGAAATTTCCAAAGGATTGGGCTGTAGTTGCTGATGGTGGGGTGGATGGGGGGAGGTTTGTCTACAAAATAGTCACAGCGTTTAATGATAATTACTATGAGCCACTTAATCGTTTCAATATAAGTTTCTTCCTTTACAGGTTACAGTACGTAAAGCCATTTACTGCTGAGTATTAATTATTTTGTCCACTGGGAGTAGTTTCCTGATACGAGCAGTTTTAGCTAAGAGTGACCATTCTCTTGAGAATTGCTCTTATTCCTTAAAGCTGTTAATGATATTGAGTGCTGCAATAATGATTTTTTTAAATGTAAAATTCACATCAACTGACTTGTGCTTCTCTGTTTTATTCAGCTCACGTGTTTGTGCCATCTGCTGGCGGAGTGATTGCAGCTCCTATCACACACATATCTGTGCGAGCGGATGGGATACCTGAGGTGGTAGAGAGCCCACATGTGCAGGAGTCAATACTGATGCAGGAAGCTGTGAACCGTGAGCTGGGCAGCGATTCATCAGAGCAGTCCAAGAAAAGGAAAGGTACAACATTTTCCCACAATCTAAGGTTCTTAACTGAGTCAGTCTTGTAGTGCATTCAATTGTCATCACACTGAACGTTTCTTCAATTTGCTGGAGGCAGAAGCCTGTTTCTTCATGTAAATCATATTAAATGGTCCTAGCACCATTAAATGCCCAGCACCATCAAAAAAAATACAGGTGTTCATTGTTGCCATATGGAAGCCAGATATCCAAGTTTCATGGATGTTGATGTTGAGAATGAAATTAAGGGTCCACTCCAGTATATCCAGGTCCATAAATTCATCCTGATGTCTTTTCAGGTAGCTGATGTAAGATAAAGGTTCCTTTTATACTGCATCCTATAGATTTAGGTCTCCATCCTAGCATTATTCCAGGAGAACAAGAAGAGCAAAATCATCACCACCACTATCTGGAAATCACTCACCATCCTGATAAAGAATGACCCATAATAATAATAATCCTTTGATATCATTCTTTATCACAATGTCATTGTCTCAAATTTCAAAGGATTCACTATAAAATGCAGTGATTGCGTATTTGCAGGTGAATGCACTCACCAAATTTGCTCAAAGCAATATTCTACAAATGGCATGAAGTGAATGACCAATTTTATCTGGAGCATTGTTGGGTGGAACACCGGGAACAAGTTCACAGTGCAATTGTACCCTAACTTTGGTTTGTTATACAGTTAAACTCACGTACGTCATATCAGTCAGGACCATTTAATATGATTTACGTGAAGTCCAAATTACAGGCAAACTATAAAATTATACGAAATTATATGAATTGGATTTTTTAATTATTCATTTTATATAAACTATAATTTAAAAATCCAATTCAACCAACAATCTACACTTTGCTTGAGTAATTCTGTATATACTGTTTCTTCTTTATCGCTGGTGCAAATCATGACATATCCAATGCAACACCATTGTTGGAAAATTATTGCCACAAGGATTGTCGTTGTTTAAAGAGAATAATAATTCTGCATTTGATAAAGTATCTTTCAAGCGGAAGAATGTTTCAAAGTGGTTCACAGGTTAATATCTCGGGAATACTTTACAAAGATAGGCTTGGATGCTGAGCACGGGAGACAGTAAGGGTGGAAAGGGGATTGACCGCATGATCAAAAAGGTAGGTTTTAAGGAGGGATCTAAAGGCAAGACAGGGCTAAAGGGGAGGTTAGGGGCTTGGAATCTGAGAACAACTGAATACTCTTTGGATTTTATTTTTAGACTTGCATTTAATCAGAAGTTTCCGCACATGACTCTGTTTTGCGTTGTTTGTTTTTACCTAGTACAGCTTAAAAGAAAAAACTGAATGTGTTGATAGAAGGCAAGCTTACAGTTTTCTTCTTAGCTCTGTCATGTTGAATAATTGTTTGCTTACACTGCAGGCAAAGCAAAATGTTACTGTTACTAGTTTGGTGTGCAATGCTTTGTAATAGCACTAAATTAATACAGAGTTTCACATCCCCAATTTCTTTCCTAATGAGCTATGAACCCATTTTCAATTTTTTTTCCCTGAGGAAATTGTAAAGAAAAGTTTAAACCAAACAGTAGCTCTGAATATTTCAGGCCAACTAATTGAGCATTGTTGACATGTATTCACCATTGCAATTGAATTTGTTTGTGTAAGAACTTTAATGCTACAGTAACTCAGATTAATTTTATGGACTTGTGAAGGACAGAACCAGAATTGTTTCCAATCCAACGAAAATATTGGTTGGTGCCTCAAAAGGCAAATATGATTAATTGATATTGTCACAGCCCAACACAGTAAACTGTGTCTTAACTATAGTGTTTCCAAATAGTTATTTGGACTTCATAATAGAAGTTGTTTACTTGGCTGTGATGGCAGTTATAATAATAATAATAATAGAAATTGTGTTATTTGATATAGAGCCTTTCAATCAGGAGGATGTATCAGATCACTTCACAGTATTTTTATTGTCAATTGTGTATTTTGCAGACAAACGTAACTGCAAATTTGCACTCAGCAGAAACCCCTGAGCAGCCATGAAATGAGTAACCAATTTTATCTCGGGGATTGTGGGCCAGGATACCAGAAGGAACTCTCTTTTCTTTTTGAATAGTGGCATGTGATCTTTAATGTCCATCTGAACAGGCAGACTTGATTTAACGGCTCATCGAAAGGAAGACACCTCCGGCCATGCAGCACACCCCCATTATTGCATGGAGTGTCAACCAAAAGTCTGTGAGGTAGCTCAAAGTGCTGACATGGGGCTTCTAACTCAGGATGGAACCTGCCTGGTACTGAGAGCTCACTTGCTCAAATCTATAATAATTTTTATATCAATCCTAACTAGTGGCAAACTCTACAATGGTAAAATGTATTAATAGTTAATACATCGAATAAAATATAACTTGATTACAATTAATTCACCTGGGAGTGCATGATGCATCTGGCTAGAGAAAAATAAATTATGGTTGAACAAGGGTGACACGGGAGGTTGATGGGTAGTTCAATATTAAAGTGCATCATTAACTGCATGCATTTCCTCCAAACAAACAAACAAAATAAAAATCCCTCAAAAAAAACCATTAATAAATTGGTCATTTTCAATCCATGACTGTTTGTGGGACATTGCTGTGCGCAATTTGCTGCCGCGTTCACCCACAAATGTACAGTCAATTCACTTTACAGTATATTCTGTGAAGCGCTTTGGGACGTCTAGAAGACGTGAAAAGCGCTATATCAAATGCAAGGATTATTATTAAAAACAACAAATTACATTTGTACGGTATCTTTCACAACAGAAGGACATCCCAAGACACTGAAAACAATTTAAACAAAGTTGGATGCTACTTAACAAGTCCCTGTGATATTTACTCTCTGATATTGTATCTGTACATTTCATGGTTTTATTGATGGTAAAGTCGGAGCTTTGTACTTTTGCAAGGTGTAAATGCATCTATTTATTTTTTCCCGCATGTTAAATTGTTGCTGTATTTCCCAATATAATATTCCAGTATGTTAGCAATTTTTGAAAAGAACTTTTGCATTCAAAGATACGTTTAGGCTTCAGAATAAACACTGTAAACTAAACTTGAACTGTTTTTGCTCTAGCTCGAAAATCCAAAGCTCCCCGTGCAGCCTCCCCACCGACACACCCAGACATCCCAGTGAAGAGGAAAAGCAAAGATGGCAAAGGTAACAGTCTTCAGATTCCTGTTTTAGACTTCCTTCTGAAATGATAAGGTGCCATACCAATGCAAGGATTATTATTTTTATTGTCTTATAAATGTTTATTGTATTGGTTGCGTTGTGAGGCTGAGGAAATGCACAGGTTATGATCAAGGCCAATAGAAAATTGCAGAAATATTAGCACAAAATTGCAGGGAAATTTGGGGAAATAGCAGTGAGTCGATTGGTGCTATTAAGAGGCACATTTTACTGCAAACTTACGTTTTTTAACTTTATTGATGAAAACTAAACATAAAGAAATAACACATAATAGAGCAAACTGCATTTTTAGAGAGTTTTGCAGAGGGTGTTGTTTTTCGTGAGGGTGTATGTTTTAGCAGATTCCACGGAAAAATTGCGGCCACAACTTTTCTATTGGCCCAGGTTCTGCTGCACGTGTACTATCTGTGCTGCAATAGATTTTCTGAGATATTTAATTTTTTTTTATTTCTAATTAATCAGGACTGTTTAATTGAGCTTCAGCATTTTAAATTTTAGAAAAAAATGTTGTATTCTTTGGAAAGGCAGCCAGACCTATGGATATAATGCCCTCTTCTTAGTCAAGGTTACTGTTCAGTTTTGATTAATCTATTTGTCAATTTTTTTTTTTTAGATTTTGTTGTTAGATATTATGTTTTCCAGCTTAGTCAGGCCCTTCAGTGCATAAAGGGATGGTTGGGAGAAAATTATTTAATCATTTAGGTACAAAGTATAGAATTCTGGTTTTCCAACAAATAATCCTCTGATTGAAGGTTCTTGCAGTCGAGTATACTGGCAGTTTGTACAGGTGGATGAGCTGGCAGAAACATGTCAGCAGAAGCCCAGTGCAGTGTGTCATTTGTGACTGTTGTCTTTTACTGCCTTCAAATTAAAAGCATCAGATAAATAATTTGGAATTGTAGAACCTACCAGGCACACTTCATAGGAAATGTCAGTGAAGATTAACTCTTACAAAACTCGCCTGGTGCTCTCCTTACAGAGCATTATATAGGAAGATTTACTCATGGACTGCAGGAATGATTATGATCCGGTTGCGTATTACATAAGAGAAATAGTATTCCATCAACTCTCCTCTGAATCCTGCTAGCTTTCAACGGGTCACAATTGAAGACTATTCCTAGATCTTAATGAATAACACTATTATACAATTTCTAGCATTCCCCTTTACATGCTCCAAAAATGCAGCTGAGGTATCCAGGTAATGTTTCAGTGAAGAACACATTTTCAAATCGAAATTGTAAACCTGTTGTTTAATATTTGCAGGAAGCACAATCTATCTCTGGGAGTTCTTGTTGGCTTTGCTGCAGGACAAGAGTACGTGTCCTCGGTATATCAAATGGACTCAGAGAGAGAAGGGCATCTTCAAACTGGTCGATTCAAAAGCTGTGTCCAGGCTGTGGGGCAAACACAAAAATAAACCAGATATGAATTACGAGACTATGGGCAGAGCCCTCAGGTATGTTATTTTTGATAATTAGTAATTTGCAACAGGTATTCATTTTTGATGGACTGAGTTCTTTTTCACTGAAGTCCATTCCTGTTGGTTTTCTGAAAGAGAAGTTTTTTTTTAGCCATTAGAGTCTTTATTATATTTTAAAAAGTGTTTTAGCATTGATATTGTAGGATTGCTTTTAACTCCTCTTTGTAATGGGTGCTGTTTCCAAATTTAGTTAAATATATCAGATTTTCTGTTTAATAGCATAGGAATAAGTTGCGGAGGGTGAGGTTAGATATAGTGAGCATTGTTTTTGGAAAACTGGACTGGTTGATAGAGAGAACTGATCTTATGCATTCCATGTTCCGTTATAAATATTACAGAGAATTAATGGAACGACACCTAGAATCATAAATGACAAAATACATAAATTGTGAATGTTACACATAACCAATAAACCCTGAGTCTTGTCAAGGTTGTGCAGTCTCGTATATCGTGGCTACTAGATTTGTTCGCAGTATTCCACCAATGTGGTTTGACCTGTGCTCAGTCAACTTTAGCATGACCTGACCATCTAAACTCTATCTGATTTAACAATAATCCAACTTCCTTTTGCCTTGTTTATTGCTGCCTCACAGTGTTTGGACATGGTGAGCGACAAGGTAACTAACACTCGTAGGTCTCTTTCAGCTTTCCCTTTGGTTAATTTTATTACATCCATGGAGTGCACGCACCTCCTACTTTTATTTTCTATAAGCACTACCTTGCATTTATTCATGTAGAACTTGACTTGCTAGTAATAAGCTTAAGTGAATATTCTGCTACAATTTCTTTGTAAGATCTTGGCTACCTCCTCTGATCCCATAGTTCTGGAACCACCTTACATTGAGTAATCAAGTCATCAATTCGTGCGGGGATTTTCCCCACATGGATCCTAGTCAGATTTGATGGCTCATAAATCAGAAATGTTAGGGTGAACATTTTATAATGTTGATGTTAATTATCACATCATTGATCAATGTAATGAACCAAGCCAGTCGATACTTCAAGACTGGCCGCAGGTGTGACATCTGGAAATCTGAGGCCATGGTGTGGCCCTGTTTTGGATCCAACCACAAGGAAATATTGTTAAGTACTTAAGAGAGTTGATTCATTCATTCGCCATTGATAGTTTGAGAATACAATTGAGCAGTTCTTGTTCATTGAGTAAGTAGTTCATGTAGACGGAAGTTTTCAGTAGCTTTTTTTGCACGTGAGTGCATTAAAGATTAATGGTGAAGTTCTGGGTTAACTGTATGTTTGAGTCTGGAGAGTATGGTGGTATTTTACAACTGTCCCTCTTGAACACAGAATTCACGTGTTGACGTGATGGGTTGTGGTTCGTAGATCTTCAAAGTGTTTATTAATGGCTATGACAAAGACAAATCGCTCCCTCGCCTTGTCTCCACACCTAACTCTTCGACCATGCTTTCAGTCACCTTTCCCATCTCCATCACTCTTGACTCCCACCCCCAGCTTGAGTGTCCAGTACTATTAAGCTTGTTGGGAATGTCCCCTCACCATGAAACGCACGATACAAGTGTAAATTTATACTATATTTAAAACAGGACTTTTAATTTCATTTTCTGGATTGGAATGACCATATGCTTTCTCTACAGGTATTACTACCAAAGGGGAATCCTCGCCAAGGTTGAAGGCCAGCGGTTGGTCTACCAGTTCAAGGAGATGCCGAAAAATCTGGTGTGCATTGATGATGATCACTTCAGCTCTAATTCTGAAACCCAAGAAAGTTCTTCTAGTCTTACAACTGATACGTCAGTTGTGTCTTCAACTGCACGACCTTCTGCAATATCCCAACCATCGGTGGTCGTTAGTACCATCTTGACACAGCAGCCCAAGGCTACTCCGCATATTATGTCGGGTGCCAAGAAAACAATGGCTCCAGCACAGCCCACTACTGTTGTCAAGTCTCTAAAGGCAGCAATGGCCGGGGAGAGTGCGTCGCAGTCAGTACATGTGATATCATCTGAAATGCTGAGAACTATCCACGGCCTTCATGCAGTGCATCCACCACAGCAGTCCAGGGTTCTGAAGACTGTGCAGGTCATGCAGTCAGTTCAGCCTGGTCAAGGAGGACAAAAGGTCATAACCAGCTGCAGCCCAGTCTCAACATCAGTGCCGACAGTCAGGTAAAACATTTTTTTTTAAGGGAACTTTTTTTAAGGGAGTTGGACCAAAATCTCTATTAGCTGCTTCTATCCAATGATGCAGCTTCATTCAGGCTCTTGCCTCATTCTGTTCATGTACACCAGACTACCCTTGAGAATCTTGTAGAAATCAGTGTTATTCAAAACAGATTGCTGTCACCAAAGCTCACAGTATTTACAAGCAAAAAAATTCATACCTGGGGATTGTTGTGCAATACAGCGTCTGTTCAGCACACACTCCCAATATTTGGTTTAGTTGTAGATGCCAAAAAAATATTTTCTTGCAAAATAATGATTATGCCCTTGAGGCCCAGTCACATTGTGGTTCTGGGCCCTCCTTACCTTGCCCTTTGTGGTTTCAATGATTCAAACCAAAGCTCGATGGGTATGCTGGAGTAATCTCGGCTTTCGATGCGCTGCCTTTATTTGGGAGATAATTAATTATAAAGACTGCTGTTTATAACAAACACAGAACGCCTAGAAATTCACAAAAGGTCAGATGCTGATCGAGCTGCTGTGGGTTTCCAACATTCCTATCTTTAGTTCAGATTTCCAGCATTTGAGTTTTTCTTTTCATTTCTGCTTACAATCGTTCACTTGAATGAACAATGGAATCTTTATTACAAACATTTCCCCTGATCCCAAAACAGCACAAAATGAACAGCACCCTGTGCACAGACAAAAGAGGCAGGGACAGGATGTAACTTCCTGATTTAGACTGTTGAGGCTTAACAGTAACTTAATTTTTATGATTGAATTTTATTTCTCCATGTCTGTTTTCTTTACACTTGGTTTCAGCCAGTAGTAATGGAGTTTTAAGCCCTGGACAGCCACCGACTGTGATTCTGTACTATCCCGTAATGAGCTTGATTTGATCTGAGTGTATTTTAACAGTTGTCTTATTCTCCTTGGAGCTGAAATATCTTACTTTCATGTGCTGCTATTAACAGGCAAAAGTCCCTTGACTTTAGCAAACATGCTTCAGGGAAAGTGGGGCTCCAGGACCCAAAACAAAACTTGTTTTATAATTAATTTGAGCAATGCATTACAATGATTCATACGCTGAAATATTAGTAGATATTGCATTCTGTCAATACTGGTTTAAGAAGTCATTTAAAATCTTTTTTACAATTCTATCCTCCTCTCCTGAAGGGCACGGTTCCTTCAGGAGAGGTGCTGGCAGCACTCCAGTACTTCATGCATGTGGCCATTCTTAATATATGAGACTTGATAGCGAGTACCTGCAAGCTATTATGGGTGGGAGCATGACTGTTCAGATGGATCCTGTCTTGAGCTGGTGTCAATTACGTATGCACTTTTAAATTTGGTTACTGTGCCTTGATCAGAATGGGAGCCCTCACTGGCATTTCCTCTACTCCCTTTTCCCCAGCCCATATATGCTGAATTGAATTGTAGCTCCCAACTACAGCCTCGCTGAGATCTGCAAACTCAGTACAGGTTAAGGATTGAATTAGGTCCTTCTTGGTCTACTCTCCCTATATCTCACCGAATGGTGCATTTATTCACCGAATCACTGGGAATGGCCCATTGAACCACTGAAACAATGTGAAAAGTGCAGTTTGTCGCTGTTATTACCCTTGACATTTTTAAGGCTGTAGATTCCTGCAACCATGGGGCTGGGTGTAAGCAATCCTTTGTAAATATGTTCACTGATGTCTTACATTGAAGTTTACAATTTTTCAGTGAATTTTACAGTATTCTGATGCAAGATGCTGATTCTTATTCTTTCCACAGAACGATAAAGATCCCGACTCAGGTTCCAGTGGTTGTGTCACCAAGCACTCAGCAAGTTAATACCGTCAGGCTACAAACTGTTCCCCTCACCACCGTCATCACAAGCACTGAGTTAGCCACGTCCTCTCCAAAATACATCCTACAAACCGTTCCATCTTCTCAGCCAGTGACTGTGCTGAAAGAAAATTTCACCCTGCAAGGGACACAGCTGTCTTCCAGAATAGCTGCATCAACGACGATGACACATCTCCAGGGTGCAAAGGTTCAGCACGTTCTCGCTACCAGTTCTCAGTCAATCAATAATCAAATTCCATCATCTACCACAGTAGGTGCTGCTACTCCGGTGGTGACCTTCGCAGCCACCAGTCAGCAGATTATGACCCATCCATCAAGCACTGTCTTCACTTCAGTAATCAAGGCACCAGAGACCAAACAACCAGTCATACAGACCCTGACCAAACAGCGAGCCACAGAAACCAGACAGCACTCTCATGTAATAGTGCTCACAAACTCAGATGTGTTTCCTAACCCCGTGATTTTACAAGCAGAAGGAGAGTACGAGGAAATTGATGTAGAATCACAATGAAAACTCTCTCCAACATTCAAAGCATAATTTTAGATGTTTACTTGAAATATTTTCAACGTAGTGTCATTCACTTTTGTAATTGGAGGATTGCATATAAATGGTGCTGTTGGACTCAAGGAAGTGCATTCATATAGAAGCAAAAAGTACTCTTTGCTCATTTTGATGTTTCATATTTGCTTTTGTATGACATGTTACTAAATGTTTGGTAAATTTAATTGTAAAGCAATTTTGTATTTTTAAGTTGTTTTAAACCCAGTACCCTGAGTACATGAATATATTTGTTCCTAAGATATAATTGACTACCTTATAGCCTTTATCGATCGCCACAGAATATTGACTGGATTCGCAATTCAGTTTTTATATTGTTTAAAATACAGTAGGAAGTTTTTTGCCCATCATTCTCCTTTCAAAGTAATAGGTATATATTGCAATTTGACAGTTTCTTCTATTCAGTCTGAAAGTCAATCCAGTTGCATAGCAGGGTACTTTTGTTTCCTGGTGAGTGACTTTTACTCCATGATTTTAAAAAAAATCTGGAATATTTTGCCTTTGATAGAATTCTGAATTTCAAATGAAAGCCAGAACTTCAGAAATGACCACTGTTTACTGAAGTTTTTATACTTGCCTTATTTTCATCTCTTGCAAAACTACTGTATAATCTTTACTGGAAATTAAATGGGAGAGGGAACAGGCTATATTAACTTCATTAACTAAGGTTTTATCAGTGGGAAATATTTGGAAAAAAGTTAAGTACTTTTATTTACAGTGAGATTCCTCAACTCATTAGTGTACATATTTGAAAAGAAAACTTTTGCTTTTGTAAATAATGTATATTGTGCTCTATTTTTTGAGATTGAAAAACTATTTGAACATGTAACAATTACTCTTTGTCAGCTTTTTAAACAAAAAAGAAGGTACATTTTATATAGTTTTTTGAGAGTTGACATGTAAACCACTGACATTTCCATTGGCATTATTAAAGAGTGAACTGATGTTAAAATAAACAATTTCAATTGCCCATTTTAGAGAGTTTTTCAAGTTTTAGAATTTGCGTTACACATATTTGCAACAAGGACTAGAATTATTAGTTCCTCAAGTTGATGTTGTCCTAACCACTGTTGCATTTGCATCATAAAGCTTTTGTGGAATTTCAGACACAATCCGATACAACAAACACACTTCATCCTTTACATACATTTTGCTACCAACAATGTTCTTGTCTTCTTTCCATCGTTCTGCAGACTGGGCTTAGTAAATGTGTTCTCTGGAACTGGGCGACACAGACCAGGAATGTCCTAGGTTTGATTCTTTAGGGGATCTGGCCTGGAATGGTGATGAAGAATGGGATTTGTCTTCAGTATCCTGATGAGGATGGGAGAACGTTGCCAACATTTCCTCCTCCTGTTCATTATCCAGTGTTTATCCTCCCTCCCCCCCCCCCCCTCCCCCCGCACCCATCCACCCATGAAGTATGAATGTTTTAAGTGATAATAGGATTCTATGATGCCAGTGAAAAGCTCACGATCCTATCTCAATGTGAAGATTGGGTATTTTTGTACCAGTTCCATGTATCTGCCATCCACTTGATAAAGACTCAAATTTGCACTTGATCAATTGATCAAGTCTTCAATAAGATTGTCTTGATTAAGATTCATTGGATGTCAAATGATCAACCTATGATTATCCTCCTTGGGAGTGGGGAATAAGCAAGGTCTCTTTAAAGGTCTCTTTAAAGCTGAGCTAGTCAGGAACCTGGGTGTCTTGTTTGACCCTGAACTGTCCTTTCTCCCCCACATCTGTGCCATGACCGGCACTGCCTACCACCACCTCCGCAACATCGCCAGACTCCGCCACTGCTTCACCCGTCAGGCTGCCAAAACCTTCACCCATGCATTCGTCACACCAAGGCTCGATTATGGAAACACCCTCTTCATCGGCCTTCCCAACTCTTCCCTTCACAAGCTGCAGATAATCCAGAACTCCACAGCTTGTGTACTCTCGTGCACCAGGCTCCATGATCCCATCACCCCTACCCTCGCCCGACTCCACTGGCTTCCCATCCCCCAGAGGATCGAGTTCAAGATCCTCGTCCTCACCTTTAAGGCCATCCATGGCCTTGCCCCCTCCTACCTCTCTGACCTGCTGACTCCCTACCAACCTGCCCATTCCCTCCGTTCAGCAGGCACTGGCCTGCTCCATGTCTCCCTCCTGACCCGCTCTACCATCAGTGACCGGGCTTCCATCCTGTCTGCCTCACACTCTGGAACTTCATCTCACTGTCCCTTCACCTCGCTTCCTCCCTTGCCTCCTTCAAGGCCAGTCTCAAGACCCTCCTCTTTGATCGTGCCTTTGGTCGCCCTCCCACCTCTCTGCCTTCCATCACCTCTACCCCACCCCTACCCCATGCTCGGATTCTGATCCTGACTGTCTAGCGCTTTTGGACATCCTCCCGATGTGAAAGGTGCTCTATAAATGAGAAACCGTAGTCGTTGAAGTTTGAATCCGTATTAGCTGGTTAAACTCCAACTGTATCCCAATGCACACTTTGAGGCCCTTGAGACTTGGGCCCTCACAAATCTGCACTTAATACTCTCTGGAATTGGGTAAGCAGTGTGCATCCTTCCAGAACAAGAGTGCACGTTCCATTCCAGATGTAGGGAAGTGTACGTGTGTAGACAGCATGCATGTATGGAACTCAGTCTGGATTGAACACTCTTAAAGTGGTGATGGGTTTCTGCACATCAGACCACAGACTGCCCCAAAAAACATTCAGATCAGCCAAGTCATTGTTCACCGTTGTTTGTTGAAACATTGAACAGTCCTTTCCATTATCAGAAAGTGATAACAAAGCAATTTGGCCTCTAGTGCAATGCAAATATGCTTACTATGATAAAAATATTTCTTGTACAAATTAATGTAATTCTAATTTAAACAAAACAGCCCTGCTTCACAAATATGAATTTGGTTGAGGAGTATAATGGGTGGAGATTGTAATCTAACAATTTTCAGAGACTGCTTGACATATTTCCATATCTAATGCTTCTAAAGGGATATGAAGTTAATAGCCAGTTTACTGACTGGATGAAGATTGGTTTGGCAACGGAAAACAGGCAGTTGTGATAAATGAACAAGACTTTTTCAAGGGAATAGTGATTATTGGAGATCTTCTGGGAGCTGTTCTCTGCTTAGCCAAAAGGCATGGTCCATTTCTCATCACTGACAGAAACTGTTCTGTGCTTTAATGCACCAACTCATTCGAGGCAGTTTATTACAGAGCAGCTTACATTCAACTTTAGTACCAGGATTTCAAACATCTGATACTTTTATAGAAAAATTCAGGATGTTGGATGATAACCACTAATTTAGACAGGGATCTGAGGTAAAAACAATAGACCTACAGTAAACCTATGTCCTGTGGAGTCCTGTCGCTTAGTGGTTGGAGCATTCACCTCGCAAACGAGAGGACATAGGTTCGATTCCCAGGTAGGGTGAAACTTTGGCCAAGTTTCCTTACTCCACACACTTCTGTTTACCTAGCAGTAAGTAGGAATCCGGTTGTTTGTCGATTTGCCGGATTGGTTTTCAGGGGATAAGAATCTCTTAAAAATAATAATTTGGTCATTCAATCCACGACTATGGGACACTGCTGTGATTTGCCCACAAAGTATGCAGTTAATTCACTTCACAGTAGTTGTGATGATAGGTCATTGACCTGAAAAGTTAACTCACTTTTCTCTCTCCGTAGATGCTGCCTGACCTGCTGAGTGTTCCCAGCAAATTCTGTTTTGTTCAGATTTCCAGCATCTGCAGCATTTTGCCTTTCACTTTACAGTATATTCTGTGAAGTACTTTGAGACATCTCGAAGACCTGATTATTATTCTAACGTATTTTGTGTCTTACCATTTCAATTGTGACTTTTTTGGGCTAGTGTGTGTATAGTTCCCTAGTAGAACACTGATTGCTTTCTGTAATAATGGTGAATCATAGATGAGGAAGTGAGAAGAAGTGAAGCATACCAGTCAGTGATAGGAATATTGGTATTCATTTGTTTGTATTCAGCAGTACACACATCTACCATATAAATAGTATATATTTGCTCAACAAACCATAAGCATATCTCATGCATATTCTATGTCTACCACTGATGAAGTTTTGTGGAATTGTTGATTCATTTACAGTGTGAGCATTCACAAAATCGTCATCCAATGTGGAGTGCATAATTCCGAGCCTAGGTCCCTGAAAGTTGTGAAAATATCTGAAACAGATTTGATTGCAAAAATGCAGTAGCTGAGGAGACCGCATCTGCTTGTGATTAGTGGGATCAATGGGTGTCCAGACTGAAGCTGGATTGAGTTGCAGTCACAGATATGGTAGTTGAGGAATAGCTGTTAAGTGGAAGATTTGGAAATGTTAACTCAAACTAAAGGGTATGTGCAATGTTTGACTATTTTCTTCTTTGAACGTGTTGGTCAGTTGTATACAGATGGTGAATCTTCGAATGGGTAGGTTCTTATGGTTTAATTGGGATTGATTTAAATGCAAACCTATTCAAGAGATGTGCCATTCACACTCTGTTGGTAAAATTGTGAATTACGACTAAAAAATGCATCACATTATGTTTAAGGAACTCAATCCATCATTCCATCTGGAAGCTGCAATGCAGATCAGTTCCAGATCTCCAATGCTCTGAACTTGGCGGGTACTACAAATGTGGGATTGTACACGGAAGCATCAACAACACAGATTATGTTAGTTACATAAATAAAGAATTGTTGCAGATATATATCTGTCTTCCCTTATTTGTTAGAATATTTATTATCAATTGATTTGTAGAAAAAATCACCCAATACTGTACACTTTTTCCCAGTTTCAACTAACGCAAATTAATACTTATTTTAAATTCCAGCCAACTTCAAAATAGGATAAGAGCAGTAGTAAGCCATTCAACCTGTTTTGCCAGTTTATTTGATCCTGGTTTAATCCCATTTCCTCAAATTTCTCCAAAACCCTTAATACCTTTATTTCCCGAGTATCTATCTTATTTTCAAACACTCCAATTGATTCTAGGTCTACACCCTTGTGGAGCAATGAATGCCACATTTGCACAACTCTCTGTGAGGAAGTGTCTTCTGTTCTCACTGCAAAGCATCATAGCACACATTTTAAAATAATGTCCCACATGTTCAGAGTTACAGAGGGAGTCCTTCGTTTGGAATACATAAAGTCTTTGTATCAACCTGGTTCAATTGGTAGTATTCTCTGAGGCAGGTGCTTACAGATTCAACTACAACAAGATTAAATTTGTATAGCTCCTTTCACTTCGGGAGGACATCCCAAGGCGCTGGACAGTGTACAGCATTTCGAGACCCGAGCAGGGGTCAGGGGTGGAGAAGGGAGGGGAAGGTGGGTGGCCAATGGCATGGTCTTGAGGCGGGACATGAAGGAGGCTAAGGAGGAGGCGAGGCAGAGTGATTGGGGGATGGAATTCCAGAGGTTGGGGGCAGAGTGGCTGAAGGCTCTCCCACCAATGGTGGGGCGGCTGTGTCAGGGGACATGGAGCAGGCTGGAGCCGGCTGAGCGGAGGGAGCGGGCGGATTTGTAGGGGGTAAGGAGGTCGCAGAGATAGGGTGGGGCGAGGCCATGGAGGGCTTTGTAGGTGAGGACCTCTGAAGGATAGGGAGCCAATGGAATCGTGCGAGAATGGGGGAGATAGGGTCACGGAGTTTGGTGCGGGAGAGGACACGGGCTGCAGAGTTCTCGATTATCTGCAGCCTGTGGAGGGAGGAGTTGGGAAGGCCGACAAGCAGGGCATTTGCATAGTCGAGCCTGGAGGTGATGAAGGCATGAACAAGAGTTTCAGTGGCCTGAGGGGTGAAGTAGTGGCGGAGTCGGGTGATGTTACGGAGGTGAGGGAATGTAGAACGGGTCATGGTTTGGATGTGGGGAAGAAAAGACAGTTGAGGGTCGAACACTGGCTTGGTGAATTGTAGTGTGCAACCATGGAGGTTGAT